CACACACACACACACACACACACACACACACACACACACACACACACACACACACGTGTGAAGTGGGCCTGCTGCTGTTTGACTGTTACATTTAACACGTCAGCCTCTCTCAGCTCTCATTTCCTCAGCCGGCTGTTTGTCTCCCAGTGAGTCTTTAAAGGTTCCTGGTCTGTGTGTGTCTGTGTGTGTGTCTGTGTGTGTGTGTGTGTGTGTGGGGGGGGCTGTTTGTCCAGGTCAACAGAACCCACACTGCCTCCATTCAAACTGGGTCTGAGCAGGTCTGCAGGTCCCCAACTGAATGTTGTCTGCTGGCTCCAGTTCAACCACACCAGTTATTTAAACAGATAAAACATCTGATAAAACCTAAAAGAGTTTCCACCAGTGAGACCAGCAGGAGTCTGCTGACACAACAGGACATTCATGGGTCCATGTTTTCAGAAGCAGGTAAAAGATGGAACCACAGACGGACGGAGCAAAGATCCTGAAGTAAAATCCAGAACAGATTATTTATTCTGTGTTTTAGTCCCTGAGCAGCAGGTAGCTCTGTTTTATCACACGGTGGAAGGAAAGTGGGCTTGAACCAGAAACAGGAAGTTCTCCTGTTCATCAGGCCTGTGGCTCTGCTGCTTTAACAAACATTAAAGAGCCGTGACATGAACATTTCTGTAATAAACACTGAGAACATTTTACTAAATTATTTTCATGCTGCTGAGATGAACAGTTGTTGAGATATTTTCAGGTGAAGTAACAGGAAGTGATGTCATAGGGGAATGTCTGCATGTGAACAGAGCTAAGCTAAAATGCTCAACAGGCCAGACTGTGGAGGAATCTGAGGTTTTACATTATTTTGAGTCATTATCAGACTGAAACAAAAAAAAGGAGTCAAGAGTTCAAATAATGTTTCAATAAACAAAGATCAGAGAGTTCTTTTTCTTTAAGGAGTTCTCCTTTGATGTCACTTCCTGTTTCACTTTTGCCGAGCCAAGTTCAAAAGAAAACAGGTGAGTTATGAGTCCAAATGTGTAAAATAATGTGTGGTTTGCCAACAAGTTTTCTTTGACTTTTTGTATGTGAAGTATAAGCATGTCACAGGCTTTTTAAAGTCCTCTAAGCACCTGGACCAGGTCTGGACCAGGTCTGGACCAGGTCTCATGTTCTGCACCTGAAGGACACCCAGCCTGGTGCCTCCAGCTCAGAGTCTGAATCCTCCACATGTGGCTTCATTTCCACAACAAACAAAGTCAGGAATGTTCCTGGAGCTGGTTCTGACCCACGTGACGCCTCAGACACGTCAGACAGACCTCTTGATTCTGGACTCTGAGTCGATCCTGGAGTCCAGCTCAGGTTTGTTAGATAAAAACACACATTTCCATCCTGATGGACAGTTTTTACTGGATGCTGCAGCTGCGTCAGTGGAAACACTGAATCCTAATGAGGTGGTCCGGTGGAGCTGAAAGGTTCTGACACGGAGGTGGCATTCCTCCGTGGTTCACGGGACAACTGTTTGGCTCCAGGTCCACAAAGCTAACAAGCCAGAACAGGCTGGCTAATAAAAGTGGCCACCAACAAGCAGCTAACGCCCCGGAACTAATTACTGCACCGTCGTCCTCTTTTCTCATCACAAGCAGGGGTGTCACTAGGTTTTCATGACAAGGGGGGCTTAGGCCCCAGGAGATGCACAGAGTTTTTGTACATTATATATTTGTACGTGTGTGTGTGTTTTTTTTTCGTGTTTTTATGTTTATGGTTACCACCAATAGTGATGATTAATACTTACTTGTCATGAAAAACTTTCATATTTCCAGTTTTCACTGAGCGTTCTCCTGGTCTGCTCACTGAGCCCTCATGCTGCACTCAGCTGGCTCTGTGTGTAAACCTGCTAGCATGTTGCTATTAAGGTTGCAGGAAAAACATGGACTGGATTTCATGTGGTGTGGGAGTACTCTATGAACAAGTGGAATGGACTGGATAACGACGCACCAAAGAGGATCTCTACCTTACACTATAAATTAAAGGGAAACTGACAGATTTATGATCATATATTTTAGTTAATTTTGGGGGGGCTTTAAAATATTTTAGGGGGGCTCCAGCCCCCCTAAAATAGGCCTAGTGACGCCACTGATCACAAGTCAGCGGTGCCACACAAACAAAGCTGGGATTTAGGTTTCCTCCCGTCAGAACAGCAGGTCTGCTTCCTGTGCTGTCGAGCTCTCTGATTGGATGAAATGTTCTCCTCAGACCTCCCAGGACTGTTCCTCACACCAACAGTTTGGTTCCAGGACCTGAGAGGAAAGCAGCGCAGCTAAAAGGATCTAAATCTCATCTGATGTGACACAGCAGGCTTATTCCACAGCGTGAACACGTTCCTCCTGGTTCTGGTTCTGCACAAACTCCCCCTGACGCCTCCTTCCTCCGACGGCTGCAGAGGAGCTGAGGATGAGACTCATCACAGGAGGAAACACACAGCTTCTCAGAACAACACAACTCAATCCTTCTCTGGATCAGATTGATTTGTGAAATGAGGAGTAGCAGCGAGGGGGGGTGGGGGGCAGGGGGGGCAGGGGGGTCCACCTTTTCAACAAAATCTTTGTTTTTATCCTGTTTTCTGAGATAAAAACTGGATAAAAAGAAAAGCTGCTGCCAGATTTACAGAAAATACAAATAAAAGAATCTGGGCTCCTTGGGTTATCAAAGATCCTTCTGTAGAACCTGAGACCATCAGAGGAACCAGAACCAGAGCCTGAGACCATCAGAGGAACCAGAACCAGAACCTGAGACCATCAGAGGAACCAGAACCAGAACCTGAGTCTGTTGGAAGACCAGGTGTTAGGCCCCGCCCACTCCCCCTGCACACAGGTGTCACATGTTGGACTCATTGCAGAGGAGTGTGTTGATCAAACACAGAGCTACACCTGTAAACCACCTGAACCTCATCAACTTCCTGTTGTTTTACAGGTGGGGCCAGGTGGGACCACCCTGTGAGACCCTGGTCCTCCTCCAGGTCCTAGATCCAGTTTTTCCTTCCATGAATGGACTGGATCCAGACTGGACCACCAGACAAAACCCTTCCACAGGAAACTGGATTATTTATATAAACATGAATCAGTGATCCCTCTGACCTCACCCCAGACACACACACACACCCACACACCCACACACCCACACACACACACACA